AAAGGTCGATTCTGTCTTCAGTATTTAAGTTGTTTTAATTATTTGATGCTCATATTTTGTTCAACAAAAAATTTATAGTAATTGTCCACCTTGTCATATCTGCCAGGATTATTGTATCAAAAAAGTCAAGCATACAAAAAAGTACATGATTAAGGCTGTTACAGTAAATCTATTTCAATAAGATCACCACACAGTTATCTGGAACGCGGAACTTGGTTGGACTCTACTTATTTTAAGCACCTAGCTTTGTTTGATCAGATTGGGTTTAGATGCTGACTTGTCAATACTTAGAAAACTAACTGAGTCTTTCAGTTTATTCGAAATCCTACTCGACATTTACCAGTCATTGGTAAATTTAAACCACGTTCTGGTTTTACGGTTTTTTGTGTATACTGAAATTCAACCTTAGTCAACGTAGAACTTGACATAATTGCGCATCAGCCCATATTTCCGTTCCAAATTATCACAATGGGAGGAAATTAACGAGATAAAGAGTCGAAATATGTCTAGTATCGATGATGGTGAGAAAATAGATATATATTGGAGAGTATGATTCAAAAATGTGTGGAAGAATATTGGAACTTAAAATCTGGAGAAAGATGTAGAGTGAGTTTATATGTAATCAATCATAAACCATGGTACTCAACGTCTCTAGCTACTGATCATGTTTATTGGACAGACATCAACTTGAGATACTAAACATTATATTGTAACCTGTGAGTTATCCGTAGAATTGATTAGTTTTTTTTGACTCTACTATTGCTACGTGCGTATATAATTAAGAGATTAGATCAGTAGGTATACTGTCCCTACATATTTCTTAACTGGGATCCGCATCTTACATTCCTAAGTAGAGCTTTTTAGCCAGATGATTTCACTCATGACAATAAACATTCTCGATTGAGGTGGTTGGAATGATTTACATAATCCTAGCAATAAATCTACCTCGACAGGTAGTGCAACTTGGGAAATAAATTGCACCGAACTTTTTAAATATATATTTGAACACATATATATTGGTACACGAGTGCGGCAAATATATATGCGTCACACAAAACCATGAGAATTTAAGAAGAAAAAGAAAAAAAGTGAGGAACGTAAAAAAACAATAACGAAGAGATTGATGTAAGGTAGTGTAATAATAATAGTAATAGTAGGGGAACAGAAGGATACAATCACAAGAAATCTTTCAGTTAAGGAAGATACAACCACGTTTTATGAAGAAAGTAAAAGAAGGTTACAGCACGATCGCCACTGGCTTCTATTCTGAGCCGTATCTGATAACGTCTCTAGCCACTGTGTTGTACCATCTCTCGGACCCCAACCAGGGAGTCGTGAAGGACCGACAAAAGCCAGCTCTTTGCAGCTTTCTTTCATACCACGACACCATGTCATATACTGACCACCTCTCCGCTTTCTCCAACCAGTCCCCGAGTCGGCAAATAATGCACGGCGTGGAATTCTCTGGGACGACATTCGGAGAACATATCCAAGCCACCGAAGTCGGTGTTTCAAGATGGTGACACTAATTGCATTATCGTCTCTGCTCCCAATCACACGATGCCGAACTTCTGCATTACTAACATGGTGTTGCCACTGGATGTCAGCAATCCTTCGGAGACAACGGTGATCGAACACAGAGAGTCGTCTAACGTCCTCAACTCGGAGAGGCCAGGTTTCACAAGCATAGAGCAAAACTGCTCTCACCGACGCGTTGTAGATCCGATCTTTTACAGCCAGACTGACATCACGAAGGCGCCAAAGGTGGCCCAGATTGGCATAAGCCGCTCTGGTTTTCACTATACGTGCATTGATCTCATCACTCACACCCCCACCAGCACTTATGCAGCTACCCAGATACACGAACTTCTCGACTACTTCTATCTGCTCACCATCCGGGGTGAGTACACGATTAGGATCCTGCCAGTCTTGTCGAAGTACTTTGCACTTCGAAGGTGCAAAGCACATACCATACCTACGGACATTGATTGCCAACTGATTAAGTGCGGATTGCATGTCTTCAGCATTATCGCACAGTAAGACAATATCATCCGCATACTCAAGGTCGAGAAGTCTTTCTCCAGGCAACAGATCCACACCACCATTACTTAAATCCTTCAGAGCTGTTTCCAGAATATCATCGATGGCAAAGTTGAAGAGGAATGGTGAGATTGAGCAACCCTGCCTAACCCCACTGCTGGAATAGAACAATGGAGAGAGGTGGTTGTATGCCCTCACTCTGCCTGAGGTGTTTGTATATAGGGCTTTTAGGATGTTAATAAACTTCTCAGGCACAGTCTTCTTCAATAGACAATCCCAGAGAACAGTCCTATCCAACGAATCGAAGGCAGCCCTGATGTCAAGAAACACCACGATTGTTGGCCTTTGAAAATTACGACGGTGTTCTAACATTTGGCGGAGGGTGAAAATATGATCAATACATCCTCGACCAGAACGAAACCCAGCCTGCTCCTCGCGAATCAATATTTCTCGGGTTTTGAACAACCTATGAAGTATGACGGAAGCCAATAGCTTGGACGCAATCGGAAGTAGACTTATCCCCCGATAGTTGTTACAGGAACGACGTGAACCCTTTTTAAAGATAGGGACAACTATCGACTCATTCCATGAAGTTGGTACACTCTCTAGTTCCCAAACCTTTGTAAACAACGTCGTCAGTTCTTTAGTCAGAAAGTCATCACCATCTTTGAAAAGAGTCGGAGGTAAGTCATCTGGGCCCGGTGATTTGTAGCTCTTCAAGAGTTGGAGTTCCTTGCGAACTTCCACCTTACTTGGTGGGTCAGTCGTCACCAGCCATGGAGGGCAGGACAGTCTGACCGATGTTGCCGGAGCAGCATGCCAGTTGAACTGCCCTTCGAAAAATTCTGCCCATCGTCCAAGACGTCGATGGATGTTAGTGATTGGCATCCCATCATCTTCACAGATTGTTTCACTCACACCAGACTTCTTTCTGCCAGTGGCTCAGATGAGTTGGAAGAGCTTCCGGTAATTACCAGATGCAGCTGCTGCTTCCAGCTCATTGGCACGCTCCGACCACCAGGCTTCTCGGTCCTTACGCATGCTTTGCCCGATTTCATTACGTAACATCCTTCGTTTGTGGTCAAACTCACGGTCACCCGAAGTAGAGCGACGGGCTTCAATGAGTTGTAAGGAGCCCGAAGAAACCCAGTGCTTGCAAGCGGGACGTTTCGCAAACCCACAACTGACTGTACCCGCCATTTTCATGGCGTCATGCAATTGCAACTAATGCTCATCCATACTTTTCGGTGGAATGGTAGCTAGCCTAGCAGCTAGCTCGGTTCGATACTTACTTGAAACAGAAGTTGCACCCAGCTTGCTAACATCAACCCGTTGGTGGCGGTCACTTCGTTGGCCACTGAAAAGTAAGGTAAGATTGGCGCAGACCAAAGCATGGTCAGAGTCCAGATAGGTATTCCAAAAGGAGCGGCAGTCTTGTACACAACCACGCCAGCGGTAGCTGATCGCGATGTGATCAATCTGAGTCCAGAGTTGAGATGCAGAAGGCGGACGCCAGGAGGCACATCGGCGATGACTGTGCCGAAAGTTAGTGCTGGCCAGAAACGGGTTGTCGTCTGTGCATAGTTGCAGTAGACAGTCCCCAATAATATTTTTCATAAGTAGATAGTTTATCGTGTTTTTGTGTGCGGGCTGAGATACTGCCCGGGTGCCCAGACCGAAGCAGGTGGTTATCTTAGGGGGCCACTCCCCGAGCCTTTGACCTAAAGGTCTAACCCACAGGGCAGTGGAGCATCGTGAAGAGATGCAGTCCCATGGCAGCCGGTGATCGAAAATTGGTTCATACGCCATTTGTTCTTTTAAGATACTGGAGCCCATGTGCACCATTGGTTTGGGATCCGGTTAAAGCGCCGGACATTCGGTTTTCGTCCTCTCATTTTCGTAAACAACTCCCCCGCCACGAGGAGGTATTGAGTAGGACTTCCCTGGCAGAGGCTGTATATGCGCGGCCGTGTGAGAGTATTTCGAGAGGGAGGGCGAACCCACCCCGCTCTCGGCCATACCAGGGCATTTTGGGGCACCGAACTATACCTCAGCCAAAGTTTATTTAACTAGTAATTCTGCACTAATACCGATGACAATATTTCTTAACAATTAGATAGAACCTGTTACCTTTCCACACCTCAATTTCGTAATAAAATCGATCGAACTAATAGGAACGCACATCATTAACTTATTCACTGTATAGTACTTAATCAGTAGTTGAGTGTGAATGACTCGTCAAATTATTATTTGGAATTTTATCCACTAATGAAAGTTTATCACAACTTATAAAGAGCCGTTTCCGAACAAGCGAGGCAAGCAATTTTACAACAATAATCGTTTGACCCTTTTGTAGTCTAAAATATTTGTTGGAAATACATTAATACAGAAAGCTAGGATATAAAATACCCTCATCGCTACCCCTTTATTATCGATATTTACTACTTCAGTCATGGTATTGCAGATAGTATATTGTAATAAAGATACAAAACAATACATTGAGAACTACGAATTATCGTAGGTGAATTATTTGTAACCTTACATTGCCTGTTATATTTAGATAAATCCTTGGCTAGGACACATTTCCATCATGGTGCTAGGATTTAGTCAGAGTAGGTAGGTGGCAAGTAAAAAAATGAGTCCCTATCTGGCTATTAGGATCCTCCAACTTTTGCTAGCTTTTACTTCGGATCAGTAAGTAGCATACCATACGAATGACCTTATTGGTTACGCTTTATTAGCTAACATAATTACATAAGGGAAGAGAAGACTCCCTAGTAATATTGTTACTTTGATTGAGGTCAGAGCGTAAACAGAGACAGTTGCTTATCATCTACTTAGAATAGCGAATAATAATTAAACCATTTACTTACATCAGTTGTCATATTTACGGTGTCTGCCATTAGGCTAGAGAATGATGATGTCATCTGAGTGAAGCAGTAATACATAAACACGTATTGTATGTTCGTTGCTATAACTCTATTTGTACATTTTACGAAACCAATTATCACAAAAAAGAATGCTAGGCTCATAATAAATGGATTTTCAAAAAGAATTCACATACAGTATATTGATACCGATGTATACACATAAAGAAAAAATAGCAAATAGTGGGGGTCGAAAGACATGAGGAATCGCGCAATGTTTACACCAAACCAGTTTCTTCAACACAAATTAGAATGTTAGAAAATAGAACGAAGGACGAATAAATATAAGAAAGGAAGTAGAGAACAAATAAAGTACAAAATAATTGTACATTTAATAATGTTAATTTCTATGATGACGGTTACGTAATATACATGTAGAGTGATAAATGAATGCATCCAGAAGACTCGCCACTAAAATCAATTAAAACAAAAATATCAGTGTACTGATTAAATGGAATAATTACAAAAAATGATCAGAAGTTCGTTCAGTCATCTATGAATTGAGTAAACATAACCATATTACATCATCAGTCAGTCAGTAACAACGTAGAACTTTGTACGTACATACATCAGTTCCAGTTGCCATACCACATTAGCACAGAGATGCACTTGTCGATTCAAATCCCGTAGTGGTAGAGGTAGTAAAAGTATAAGCGGTAATCGGGAAGATTAGGGTTTGAAGATGTTATTTAAGGAGTATAATACAGCGAAATAAACTTGGAAAGAGAAAAAAGGGACATGAAGAATTCAGAAGATTAGAATTTTGGAGAACACAGAGAGTGGATGCACCTGCGCCATTGCAAACGATTTTGAGCCATGTCATTCAGGGTCTCTAACCATCGGTTGCTATCATCTCGCGGTCCCCAACCAGGTAGTCTACACCTACCAACATGGCTCAGTCCACTTGTCAGTGACTTCATGGACTTGTGCCATGTTTTGGTTTGGCCGCTCCTATCTTTCTTTCAATCTACTCCTATACCATTGGACATTGCTCGTCGAGGCAGTCGGTTGTTGGGCATACGTAACATGTGTCCCAGCCATCTCAACTGATGAAGTTTTACTACATCATCGGTTGATTTATCATACTTACCTTGAACCCGTTTCCTAACAACTGTATTACTTACTCAGTGGTCCTAGGATATACGAGCAATGTTTCGAAGGCACCTATGATCAAATACTAGTAACCTACGAATATCCTCTACTCTTACCGGCCATGTTTCACTGCCATAAAGTAGGACGGAACGAACTGCTGCACAGTAAACACGTCCTTTGGTTGATAGACAGATATCTCGCCTACGCCATAAATGACGCAAGTTGGCAAAAGCTAGTCGAGCCTTCTGTATCCGTGCTGGGATTTCATCACACACCAGACCACAAGGGCTGATGAGACTTCCAAGATAAGTGAAGCGATCGACACACTCAACTACTTCACTCCCTATCACTAGTTCGGGTGTCGATGCAACCCAATCCTAAAGCAACATTTTGCATTTCTAGGGAGAGAATCGCATCCCGAACATGCTTGCATTGTTGCTTAGAGTGGTCAGAAGACTCTGCATTTTGTCAGCGTCTTCGCCAAATAAAACTATGTCATCGGCATATTCTAAGTCAACAAGTGAACCTCCTGGTAGAAGTTCAACCCTTGGAAATTTAGATGAGGGAAGGCTTATCTCTAAAAGCACGTCAACGAAAAAGCTAAATAAGAATGGAGAGAGTGGACAGCCCTGACGAACACCACTTGAGGTAATCAATTCTGATGACAGTTCGCCAGAAGCTCTCACTCTACCAGTTGTGTTCGAGTAGAGAGCCTTTACAAGGTTAATGTACTTCTTTGGTACTCCTTTCAGTGACAAACACTGCCATAGAACCTCACGATCAACAGAGTCAAATGCTGTCTTAAGGTCGAGAAATACTACGATTGTGGGGCGTCTGAACGTGTGTGTGTTCTCGAACCTGACGTAGTGTGAATATTTGGTCTATACAACCACGTCTGGGTCGAAAACCAACCTGATTTTCTCTAGTCTGTTCTTCACGAGCTTTGGTTAGGCGTCGAAGTATTATTGAAGCTAATATTTTAGACACTATATTTGTCGGAGGACCTAAATTAACTTGCCATTCAGGTGGACTAGAGATCGTGGGAAACTGAAGTGTAGCTGAAAGCCAGTTGAACTGATCCCTAAAGTGTTCTGCCCATCGATCCAATCGCCTCGACTGAGAATGTATAATATGTCCATCTTTTACCGAGACAGTTTCGCTAACAGTCGGGTTCCTAATACCGGTTTTTCTAACGACTCTGAACAGTTGTCTGCTGTTACCTATTGCCATTGCCTGTTCCATCTCTCTTGCTTTTGCTATCCACCACTGTTCACGATCATTGCGTAGGCTTCTTATCAGCCTGTACTTAGGCTGACTCCGCTCTTCATTATGTTCAGATCCAGATGGAATGAGTTTTCGAGCATCTACCAGTGCGGTAGATGCTGCTGAGATCCAGTGTTTTTCCCTAACCTTATGGTTTACCGTACTAGCAGATATCACTGCTGTTTCCACAGCTTCTCGGATGTCATTCAACGCTGCCTCGGGGTGGGCATCACTTACATAGCTGCCTAACTGTTTTTTCTAGTTTTTCCTGGAATATATTCTCAGCTTGGTCTTCATTAAGTAGGACCCTAAGAGGTTTCCTTGCAGCGTCTTTCCTACGTCCAGTAAGACGTAGATAAATACGCGCTCGCACGAGAGCATGATCTGAATCTAAGCATGTGCTTCAGAATGAGAGACAGTCTTCTATCGAGCCCATCCATCGGTGGCTGATAGCGATGTGATCTATTTGGGTCCAACGTTGAGACTTACTCTGCTTCTAGTCTTGCCGTTCTCCAATCGACCCGCCTGGCACGGTAGAGCCTACAGGAACATATGTTTCAGCCAATATAGCTCGTTTGGGTTATCACGATAGGCAAGCCCGACCACCGCGTCAAGGTAGCAGCTACGGTCGGGATATTACAACATGGAGATTGGATAAACAGAAGTCACCAAACAAGACCATGTAATTAGTAGTTACTGATGTTTACAACTAAATGATATGATTGTTTATTTAACAGATAAGTAACAAACTTTATTTGTTATAAATGAATGAAGTTTAAAATATATTTAACACGTGATAACTTATGATATGCCTAAATTTTATTGAACATGTAACGTGTAAACTAACGCTCATAAGTTAAAAATTAAACTACCCTTTCCTCTAACAAGATTCGGTTAACTTAACAATGTCATTAATGCTTACACGAGAGATGCTGTCAATAATGAAGTAAAAGTAAATATACGTGACTGTTCATCAACAGTCTATAACTTTTATCTAAAGGCTAGATTAAGTATATAAGAAAATAATTGTAATCTAACATAGTATAACAGTGGGGTAATATAACCTATAAGAAATAAGAAAAACATTAAAACATTATAAGTGATTAATCGAGGTCACTGATCTTCACGAACTGACCTTAGATAGCCATTCAAAACGAGAAAACACTGAACAGCTGTTTAATGCTAGTAAGGGACGTTTTGGCAGTGTGTATCCACGACCTCACTGTGAGTCAAGCTCGAGACTTGAAGTCTCACGGCGAGCACTGAGCCGAGATCCAGTGTTTTAAATTTCTAATCTCAATGAGCAATTAAAATAGATCATTGAGTAAGTTATAATCCTGCAAATAAACCCAGGCGAATTATTTACCACATACTTGTATATTATACAATAGGTTATAAGAGCTGATGTTATTACCCAGTTATTAGACATGAGTATGTAGAGCGATGTCCAAAAGTGTAATCTTTTCATTCCATTTCACTGTATTTTAAGTGTTTCATTTTTCTCGCTCATCGCTACAACAACTATTCTTACTGCAATTCTGTTTATGTTAATTCCATCGAGTCGTGCCAATGCAGTATGGTAACCTAGGATAACGCATATTAAGGTGAAGTTCCAGGCTGATTAAAACTAACTGAATGACAGCACATAGGAAAACATAGATAGAGAGAAAGTGAACGTCTGTGACATCATTGATAAACTTTGTTATCACATGTATTCAGTCATCATTTTCAACCACGCAATGTTATCTAGCCACGTGATATCAAAAATCTTAAGAGAAAACTGAATAGTTTTGTCTATTACTTTTTTATTCTAGTTCAAAATACTTTTTTAACTGACATAAATTGAGAATGAAAATGATTTCAAAAATAACTTATTAAGAATATTTACTGAATCTACCAAGTACAGCATTCAACCAACAATGTACCATTATTATTTCTAATGGCAAAACATCCTAAGTAAATTTTTAACGACAATGTTGTGAACCTTAATGTAAAAAAGAAGCTCTAGCATAGAAAATAGGCCCAATATACTCTCACCTGTAAAGACTCCTCCAATAATTGCACATGTATTTGTCAGGAAATGTATAAATGACCTGGGAAAAAGTGGATAGATTTAAAACTGGGCAGCATCATCGATGAACAAGACAGATTTGATGCAGATACAAAGGTGAGTATTGGAAAAGTAAGGGCCGCATTCATACAGTTGAATAACGTATGGAACTCATATCAACTATCTGTCAGCTAACACCAAAGTCCGAATCTTCAACACAAACGTCAAGACAGTTCTATTGTACGGAGCTGAAACTTAAAGAACTACTACAACCATCATCAAATAAGTACGGGTATTTATAAACAATTGTTTACACAAGATACTGAACGTCCGTTGACCGGATACCATCAGCAACAACCTACTGTGGGAGAGAAAAAACCAGCTTCCATCTGAAGAGGAAATTAGGAAAACACTTTGAAAGTGGATAGGACATACATTGCGGAAATCACCAAACTGCATCGCGAAGCAAGCGATAACATAGAGCAAATTGTGCCGAGAATTGGAAGCGCATATTAAAAGGGTGAATAGCGACTGGAAAGGATTGCCTACGGCAGAGTCCGATAGAGAATGTTCGTGGTCAGCCTATGCTCCTCCATGAGGGGTGACAGGTGTAAGTAAGATTTAAAAGTCAATCGGAGTACGATAAAGAGATTTATGTTAACTAATGTAATAATAAAGTTAGTTGGAAAATATTCAAGTTTTTCATTTTAAGACGGTAGTTATTTGTATCGACAACAACAATAATAACAGATAACGATCTACACTTAAGAAATGTAAGGTTGAGTAAAATGCATATATGATATGAGAGGGAAGCCTAATAGTTAAGGAATTACAAATTGGAGAACGAGTGACTAATAAAATAAGATTCGTCCGACTTTATAACAATTGTTATGCTATTAAGCAAAGAAGACCTATTCTACCGAGCTGTTTATCTTCTGATATCCGTTCACCTGACGAGTTGACGTTAACAGAACAGTTCTGCATGCAGCCACATTGTGTCATTGAACATCATTTATCAATCAGTATCAATTTTATTCATCTTATCAAATATTAACTAAGTCACAGTAAAGGATACAATTTTATAAAGTGAATGTCTTTTATATACATTATAATATTTTCGACATAATTTTATTAGAGTGCTTACTTTTTCTCTTCAGTAATTTTAACAAGTAAAGGGGCTATTTCATAATTGAAAAATATACCAGGTAATCCTTGACCATCACCAGATAGAGGCGTACCTTTTGAATGCCATGTAGCTGAGTACTGATTAGTTATCACAGTGCTTTCCTACATATTTACACAGAGAAAATCAGAATTAACGAAGTAAGCAGAAACTAAGTTTTTTAGAAAAATGTACATATAAACTGTACACTGGACGTTAAAATTTGTGGTAGCCTGTGTTAACGATAGGTTAATGTATGTAAACTAATAATAGTTTCATTTTTGTAAAAATTTCAAATTAAATTAGTGAAATATAATGAATCGGTATAAGTAACTGATAATCATTTATATCATATCAGCAGTGAGATTAAAGCAAGTTTTTCCTTACAGAATGGATAACTAGTAGATGTTAACTCTTCATTGTCCACCTTTTTTATTTGCAACTAATTTCTGTATTTCGATTGTTTAAATTATTTGAAGGTGAATGTCAAGTTAGTAAAATGCTAAGAAAATGATCTGGAACGTCATCTAGTTGAAAAGTATAGAGTGATGGTTGAACCTGAAAGCGGTTCGAGTGATTGAGTCAGGTCTAGTGGTTAAGTCACCGATAAAATCTTGGTAGTGATGGTTATAGTTCTTTTGTCATTTGTCAACAAATATCACTTATGTTGTAAGAAATAGTCGACTGTCCATAGAAAAGTGAGTATACCATTATTTTGCTCTCGCTGTGATGTGAAGTGTGGTACCTTTGTATCACGCCCTGCATTACTTGTGACTCCAAACTACTGAGTGGAATCCCATTTTGTGTTACAAAGATGTTAAGACTTGTGTGATGACGTGTATTCAATCATGCGTTTCGCTTGGAAGATTAATTATGTGCTGAAACCACTCGATAAGCATTGTTGAGAATGAAATTGCTGTTTTAGATAAGGGTGGTAGATCAGCTGATGAGGTTGTAAAACTTTATTAGATGAAGAGACTGATTCAGGAGTTACACATGCTACTAATTATCTTTGTTTGCAATGTCAGCTAAAGTAAGATTTGGCTGGAATAAGTGTTCAAACCAAGGCATAGCATCAGTCGTTAAAATTACTAACAGCTAGTTTGAACAGTGTAGATAGAAGCGAACACTTTATGAGAAAGGATTTTGATATCACAGAAACCAGCTAAATATTCTATTAGACGAAACAGCCTAAAATTTATGATAGTTATGCAAATATGCACCAACATTTACTTCCTAAATTCTCAACGTCATAATACTTCGTATTTATTTTGCTTTGTTTGTTTTCATATTTTTTGTTGTTATCGATTTCCTTTATCTATGTTGTGTAGTAAGGAAAGTTGAAGTGGGACATAATGCGAAGTTTTGTGTTAACACGGTTATTCTTTTGAAATAAGTCTCAGCAGTCAGATCTATTCAAATAATCGTAACATAACAACTTATTAGAATATAAGGTAAATAATCTATCAAGATAAGCTTTCTGAAAGTTAGCTATTCTAATGCCATCCATGAACACACAGTAAGGTATAATAAAATAAGTTCTTAAGAGCAACATTAACTACGTAGGTGGTTAGATCATTGTATTTTTCTTTACTCAATTGATATCTAATGAATCATAATAAAACAATCCTTTTTAAAATGTTTTTAAAATTGTACTACCATTCAAATGAGAGAAAAGAAAGTACAATAACTACAGGAACTAAGTATTTGAAGTAATGATGACTACCATGATGAAGTGATTACAGACAAAATATTGTTTGAATTGTTAATCAGTGTTGTATAAGAATGTTTAGTGGCCCGTGGATCTGACTCCATTTAGATCGTAAGAATGTTCGTTATCACCTATCCTCGTATACAATTATCGACCTAAATCACGTTAGTCAATAATGGAATTTAGATAAGTCAATTAACGAGAATGGCCTTTGAATACATATATTTTGTATGTAAAGTGAAAGTGATAGAACACAGCAAAATGACGCGCAAGGGAGATGGCTGTTGGTAAGCCAACTCCATTTCTAGCCAGGCGTTGCGCAATATTTATAGGCAGACAAAATAAACTACAGACATGTGGTATGTAATGAGATAAGAAATGTACACACATATACGCTCATATAAAAACAGTCAAGACTGATAAGCGAATAATTAACAAGGTCAAAATATGACTCAAGTAGAATGAATAGATTGGTTTGTTCAAAAACTAGAATAAGATATACTATGGGCTTAAAATAATAACTGACACTACAAATGTTTTAAAACATAAGATATTCAATATTCATTAGTTCAATTGTATATCTTTGTATTTAGTACCAATGATTTAGATGTATACGCTAAGGAATATCAATGAATTTAATATCATCATGTTCTTAACTCATTGTTGTATTTTGAAACAACGAAGAAAACTTATCAAGTCATTAAAAAGAATGAAGATGTTCTAAAGAGGAGAATCTTCTTTTCTAGAATGTCATTTTTTATACTATACAATAGTATTTATCAGTAATATGATATGAGGTTTGAATAAATTCTAGTAAATTTATCCAGTGATGTAATTGTTCCTTTATATTATGACAGAATACTATATGTAAAACTACTGATAAATACGGTTGCACAACTAAAGAAAATGACACTGTCGAAAAGACAATTTAATTCGTTGAATTATTTTTTTTCAATATTCATCTTAACAACTACATGTTGAAGAGCTAAAAAACTTCCAGCAAAAAAAAGAACATTATGTACAGGATTTACGAAATTTTACCAATATGATTTTAAGTGTAACACACATATGAGTTACAACGTACATTTCGGTTAACGCCGGTATACATAGTCGGTACCAGTTTTAAGTAGTAAATAAACATCTGGGAATCTGAAAGTTCGGAAATAACACAAATAGTAATTATTTGTAAATAAACTAAAATGTGCAGTTACAGGGTTGAAAGCTTACATAATAACTGGTGAGACGATTCAGACGAAATAAATTTTTGATAATTAATCAAAAATTCTTAATAATTACGTAAGAGTAAAAAAACAAAAAAACAAAAACAGAAAAGGGAAAACAGATTGGGAAAAAGGCGTAGTAATAAGTGCATTCTAACTCTACTCTACTATAGCTTATGTTGATGGCTAAGGTGGAGAAAGAAAGGGATTGTACACATTTCTACTGAATGCCTAAGTCAGGTTTATTGATATGAATGCCATATGCAGTATCAAGAAGATTCACGCATAAATCGTGTATATTTGATGAAATACGGTAGATGACTTGAAAAGGTTTATTTCAAACTACTTGATTTTCTATATTTATCAGCTGATCAAGTATTGAGTTCTTAATCATCGTTAATTGTCATCCATCTAACTACACGGGATGGTATTTGACAAGGGGATGATGTACTTACCTACCTGTGTTTCCTATGTGACTAGCTCGATGTGAGCAGTAAAAATGATAAATACACATGGATGAGGTGAAGTCAAACATTTTATATTTGTTTCTGGTTGGCATAATCGAATGATTATTGACTACTGTATCCAGCATGGATACAATAAACGTTTCCTCTAAACATTTTACTAACCTTACTTGCTTAATTACTCCTGTTACTCCCAATGGAGCATAGGCCGTCGACCAGCATTCTCTGACCCACTCTGTCCTGAGCCTTCTTTTCTAGTTCCATCCAATTCTTGTTCATTTTTCTCATGTCTATTTCCATTTCTCGGCGTAATGTGTTCTTTGGTCTTCCTCTTTTCCTTTGGCCTTGAGGATTCCATGTGAGGGCTTGTCTTGTGACGCAGTTGGGTGCTTTCCTCAATGTGTGTCCTATCCACTTCCAGCGCTTCTTCCTCATTTCTTCCTCCGCTGGGATCTGGTTTGTTCTCTTACACAGTAGGTTGTTGCTAATAGTGTCTGGCCAATGGATCCGAAGTATTTTGCATAGACAACTGTTAATAAACACTTGAATCTTCTTGAGGATGACTTTCGTAGTTCTCCAGGTTTCTGCCCCACACAGTAGAACTATGTTGACATTTGTATTGAAAATCCTGACTTTGGTGTTGGTTGACAGTTGTTTTGAGTTCCAGATGTTCTTCAGTTGTAGATATGTTGCTCTTGCTTTACCGATCCGCTCCTTCACATCTGCATCAGATCCACTGAGTTCATCAATGATGCTGCCCAAATACGTAAAGGTTTTTACATCTTCCAAATCTTCTCCGTCAATTGTGATTGGATTGGTGCATTCTGTGTTGTATCGGAGAATCTTGCTTTTCCCTTTGTGTATATTGAGACCTACTGCTGCTGAGGCTGCTGCCACACTGTTCGTCTTCTCCTGCATCTGTTGTTGCGTTTGGGATAGAAGGGCCAGATCATCTGCGAAGTCTAGATCATCCAACTGCATCCTAGATGTCCATTGTATCCCGCGCTTCCCTTCAGACGTTGACGTCTTCATGATTCAGTCGATCACCAGGAGAAAGAGAAAGGGTGAGAGTAAGCAACCTTGCCTAACACCGGTCTTCACTTCGAACGACTTTGTCAACTGTCCTCCATGCACAATTTTGCAGTGTAATCCATCATATGAACTCTGTATGATATTGACTATCTTCTGAGGCACGCCGTAGTGTCGAAGAAGTTTCCATAGTGTTGTTCTGTCCACGCTATCAAATGCCTTTTCGTAGTCAATGAAGTTGATGTAGAGTGATGAATTCCATTCAATTGATTGTTCCACAATGATCCGTAGAGTTGCGATTCGGTCTGTACACGATCTATCCTTACGGAATCCTGCCTGTTGGTCTCGAAGTTGGACGTCTTTGCAGTCCTTCATCCTGTTTATTAATACCCTGTTGAAGACTTTTCCCGGTATTGAGAGAAGAGTGATGCCCGTGTAGTTATCACACTTGCTGAAATCGCCTTTCTTCGGTATTTTGACCAGAAGTCCTTCTTTCCAGTCTTTTGGTACTTGTTCCTCATCCCAAATCTTATTGAAGAGAATGTGGAGTATCCTTGCAGTTGCCGCTACGTCTGCTTTTAGTGCCTCTGCTGGAATGTTGTCCGGTCCTGCTGCCTTGCCACTCTTGATTTTTCTGATGGTCATCCTGATTTCTTCAATTGTTGGTGGGTCAATAATGATTGGGAGGTCCGTGGGTGCTGCTTCGATGTTGGGTGGGTTCAGTGGAGCTGGTCGATTCAAGAGTCCTTTGAAGTGTTCTACCCACCTGTTTTGTTGCTCTTCAATGTTGGTGATTACCTTGCCTTCTTTGCTTTTCACTGGTCGTTCTGGTTTGCGGCGATTTACAGAGAGTTTCTTTGTCGTGTCATACAATTGTCTCATGTTTCCTTCTCTTGCAGCCTTTTCCGCCGCCGTTGCTAAATCTTCCACATATTTACGTTTGTCAGTTCTGATGCTCCGCTTCACTTGTTTGTTTACTTCTGTGTATTCAGCTTATGCCTTGGCTTTTTCTGCTCTTGTTCGACTGGTATTGATTGCTGCCTTCTTGTTCCTCCTTTCTTGAATCTTATCCAGTGTATCAACAGTGATCCATTCCTTGTGATGGTGCTTCTTGTGACCCAGGACCTCATGACATGTTGAAGTGATTGCCTCTTTGATCCCCTTCCAGTTGCTCTCCACAGTAGTTCCTTCTCCATTGAGTAGATCATGAAAGGCCTGGAACTTGTTGCTGGGGACTATCTTGAATTTGTTGAGTTTGTTAGTATCCTGAAGAAAGGCCTATTGAGCTTTTGTGATATTGTCCGCCCCATTCTCCAGTGCTTCTTGAGTTTCAATTTCATCTTGGCGACCAGTAAGTGATGATCTGATGCTATATCAGCTCCTCTCTTGGTTCTCACGTCCTCTATAGTCCTCCTGAACGTTTTGTTGATGCAGATACGGTCGATTTGGTTTTGTGTTGTGTGATCCGGTGAAGTCCATGTGATTTTGTGTATGCGTTTATGTGGGAATATGGTGCCGCCTATGACCAGTTTATTGAAGGCACATAGGTTTGCAAATCTCTCACCATTTTTGTTTCTTTCTCCCAGTCCGTATCGTCCCATGATGTCTTCATATCCAGTGTTGTCCGTTCCAACCATGGCGTTGAAATCTCCCATCAGAATGGTCAGGTCCTTTGTTGGGCACTTCTAGACGATTGACTGCAGCCTATTGTAGAATTGATCTTTCGCTTCTTCATTGTAGTCGTTGGTAGGCGCATAGCATTGGATGATGTTCATTGAAATGCCCTCTTTCTTTGTTTTGAACGAGGCTTTGATGATCCTTGGTCCATGAGATTCCCATCCTATAAGCACATTTTGCGCTTGTTTGGACAACATTAATGCAACTCCTTGTGTATGTGGAGCATTTTCTCCTTCGTGGCCGGAGTATAACAGGAGTTCTCCTGAAGTTAGTCGTTGTTGTCCAACTTGTGTCCAATGCGTTTCACTGATCCCAAGTACCTCTAGGTTGTATCTTCTCACTTCTGAAGCAATTTGGAAGGCTCTCCTGCTGTCCCACATTGTACGAACATTCCATGTACCTAAATAAATGGTCGTTCTGGTTGTCAGAAGGGGCATCGACCTCGTAACTTCCGAAGGAATTCGGCTTTCATCATGAGGCGTCATAGTTCTTCTAAATGAAGACCTTCTGACTCCCAGGGCAGAGTTTAAAAGATTTGAATAATTTTTTCTGGTTAGCGTTTTTTAGCGAGTTAGTTTTCTACGGGATGAGGACGCTAACCCCATGCCCAACCCTCCCTTATCTGGGCTTGGGACCGGCAGTAGCCCCTGGAGGGACTCTAGGCGGAGTCTGTGTGCATCGTTTTCATATTTCCGAAGCGATCGGAATTCATATCAATGAACTTAAATGATGTATTCAATTGAACTCCTTACAACCTCTTTCTTCCCCCCACCTTGGCCATCAAAATAAACGTGTGTGTGTTCAAAGATTAGTTGTCAAATTATAAACAATATTGTTATCTGTTCTGTGATACTGATTAAAGTCAATTGATCACTGAATGAGCTATCGTGGTATTAAAAAAGAAATAAAGGTAATCTAGAAGAAAACAACCGCCTCTTCTAGTTTAATTTTATTCAGTAATCAGTTATAATTAGTGCTTCCAAGATTCTCATTTTTTTAACCTCTATCAAGTGGACAATAATCTCATACTCGTGAACAAACTATATACAATCTAAGAATTTTTTTAACCTTAAAATCATTGTGTAATTTTCGGGCGACACTTAAAATCTCTAAATACTTGATGAAGTAAGGTCTTTTTATTTTTACTAAATAATTATAAGTACCAGAAGGGGTTTTGTGGATATTATAGTAATTTTAATAGTTGAGATCATGAGTCGGTTGAAGCTAGACCATCATGGAAAACCTGGAAGCACTGGGAGGACGTTTCGTCATACTGTGAGACGTGGATGTGCACTGATGAGAAGTCACACAGTAGGACGAAACCGCCACCCAGTGCTTCCAGGTTTTTCATGATGGTCTAGCTTCAATCGACTCATGATCTCGACTATCAAAATTATAAGTCCAACTGTACAGCTTTGGTAAATGAAGTCATCATCTAAGAAAGATTTTCTTTCCTGAGTTTTCTTTGTCTCCTTTTTTAATAATTAGAAAATAAAAGTGTAGCTATTAGGATGAGTTACATGTTAATGAAATCTTTCAAGAGATTAATTATGAGAAGAATGACTGAATAATCCTATTGCACCGAAAACTGTTGAGCAAACCAAGGTAATGTTTTTAAGGAAGCAGGAGTATACTCAATGTAGTAAGCGAAATTCAATGTAATTTGTTAGTTGTCTTCAAAAGAATCTCATCGTTATATTATGCAGCCCAACGAATAAAACGCAACTGAAGTACTTACTACTTGTGACCACGACTTTTGTATAAATGTACATAGTGCAAAGACTAGTCTCTTTATAACTACAGCTTTTACTGTTTAATAATTATTCACTAAAGCAGAGGGATTCGAGTACAGATTGTGTAGATGGTTAATGATTCTGGGTTCTCCATATTGTGGAAAAATGTTTCTTCAGTTGAGATCTGAGAGTAAAATGGATTGTTATATGAGATTTTTGTTATGTTAGTCCTCTACTTTCGGGACTTAAGCTTAGTGTTGGATATACATGGTCCAAGAGTTAATAGCGTTTTTAGGGGAGACCTTCTCTGTCTCATTTTTACACCTGTGAGAAGGGAGTATAGCTGAAGATCTTGGTTAACCATGGAGAATAGGTTAATGCGGTCAAACCTCAAACACAGCCGACAGTATGATTTCACCCTCAAATTTGAAATTAGTTGCTTTTAATCTCAGCAGTCTTTAACCGGCCATTGCAATAAGCAAATATGACTAGTGACTAAATGTACCAACTACGGCCAAGAAACTGACTGCTCATTATCAATTTCCAATACTCTTGGAACCTCGTAAGTCTGTAAGCACTGCTGAAATAGATTTACTTCCAGGATTTCACTACCATGAATAAATCGATATGATACGTGGGAGGTGACTGCTAGGCGTATGCAAGGCATTTCGTCGGATATTTTGGCAAATAAAATTTAGACTTCATCAAAAGATTTACCTCCCATAGGAATTTTCATCTCTAATTTTTCTACTAATTACTCGGCGGTGTCTCTGAACGTCAGGGGTGCCATATGTGTCATCAGGGTGGTGAACGAGTGTTTATTTTTAAGTTATCAAGGTAAAGATGAGACATTCCAAATAAATACAGATTAATACTTACGTGTTTGTACCGCCATTTTTGTTCCATCTAGTGGATTAACTTGACCAGGATATGAGTCACCAAAACGAAGCTCCCCGATTGAATGAGACACGTTGAACTAGGTTAAAACATTGTTGTATAATCACGGCATTATAATTATAATGAAAATACTTTGTAAAGAAATATTATACGGAATGAACAATTTTTTCAAACGATGGCTAATATAGGAAATGTCTTGCATAATTAAGCGTTATTTCAGAGCAGCCTTTAAACCGGTGTTATTAAGAAAAAGATCTTCTCTTTCGGGGGCGTAACTTAATCAAGATAAACAAACAAGGGAGATAGTAACCACTGTCAGATTCTAACGATCAAATAAATTCATTATCAAGTATTGAATACATATAAGCATACTAAAGCGATTAACAAATGGATAGATGAAAAGCAGTAATAGTTTGTAGTAAATCAACGTAATCAATAACATAAGGTAACTGTTGTGAACCTACTACTTCGTGCACTCCTCTTGACTACTGACATCAAATGAAGAGAACACCTGCAGATCTTATATCTTCTTTGCATTCATGAGTATCTTTACATGAAGTTTTAGACAAATTGTCTGGTTATTTACCTCATAAATTGGTGACCAGTTGTCAAATTAAAATCCAAAAGCATAAAGAAACCTGTTGTTAACTACCATATCTGCATCTTGTGTTGTCCTTGACTAGTAAAAATCCTGCAGTTGACCTTGCTCTTATAAATTAAAGTCTTAATCTCAAAATCAGTGTGGCAAAGTAGAAGAATTGAATCAAATTACATCTAACTTGCACAGAAAATGTTTGGTAAATATAATTATCTATGATTTGAATTTTGACCAATATAACTGATATGCCAAAATCATCAATTACATATCACATGGTAGTTTGAGTATTTATATAAATGATGCCTCTAGAATTAGGCGCACGTCAGATGAAAAACTATATAATTTTATCAAAATATATTATTGTGACAGGTATCGTATCAAGTACGGAGAAGACTACTCAATCAAATATTTGTTAAGAATACAAAAACAGATAACAAAATAAGTGAACGTCAGTGTGGACGAAACTGTTTTCAATGCTATAACCCTGAATTAAACTTCAACTCACCTGAACAGGACCGAGACTTTGAAAGCTATGAAAATGTGCATGATTTTCAGTGTAACTATGACCAGGAGCAATATGAAACGCCCCACCAACTCGATTAACTGTTAAATTTCCATGAATTCTGCAACCTTCACTGCCTATCTTTTGTTTAATCTCGTTCCAGTTTTCCTTTCGGCACTGTTCAAATGCAGAAATATTTACAAATACCCATCGCATTTCATTATACGCCATTTGAACTTCCTCACATGTATTACAGCATCTTAAAATATAGTCATGGCAGTATATACATCGATTACTGAACGAATCAAAATTAGGGCATATGAAAACACAAAGTTTCATACAGTATGCTGACACAGTCCTATTTGATGAAAGGATTGGTCCGACGGAGCCTCTTGAACGAGTATGTTCGGAAAGAGTTTCTTTCCCCAGAAATCAAAACTGTTGTTTCGGGACCGATTACATCACCTAGATTCTTCACATAAAGCGTTGACCGCTTCACTTATCTTGCGAGTCTCATCAGCCTTATTGCGTTGGTGCCCTGAGAAGTCTTGGCTGGCGTTAAGCAACCTGATTGGCAAATTGATGTAAGTCCTCCAACTCTTAGTGAAGTTCAAAAAATTATAATAAATCCAAAGAGAAGGAGAACAGTGGGGCCTGATCAACTAATCCCTGAGAATTTTAAGGATGGTGGCTCAGTTTGAGCAGCTAGAATAAGTGAAATACTAGCTAACATCTAAAAACTGGATGTAGTCCATCTGACTGGTCCCGATCGTTGATCGTCTCAGTTCATAAGAAACGATAAAAATCCTCTTGTGACAATCACAGAGCAATCAATTTATCTAATATAGCATCTAAAATATTAGCCTCAATACTTCGGTATTGAAATAGAGCTCTTGAAGAGCGAACCCGAGAAAACCAGACTGGTTTCAGACATGGACCTGGACATGTAGACCGAATACTCGCCCTCCGGCAAATTATGGAACGTAGACATGCTCCCCGACGTCCGATTACAGTTGTATCCCTTGATCCTAAGGCGACATTCAACTTTGTTTATCATGAGGTTCTGTGGTAGTGTCTGTCATTGAAAGGAGTATCAAAGAAGTATACTAACCTTGTACAGTCATACTACCTGCACATTTCTGGTCGAGTCAGAGCTTAGCAAACTGTAATCGGAATTGGTTACTTCAAATGATGTTCGTCAGGACTGTCCTCTTTCCTAATTTTTATTTAATTTTGTCAGACATGCTTTTAGCGATAGTACATCCATCGTTTGACTTTTTCAGGGGTTAACTTTGTAACGGGAGATTCACTTGTCGACTTAGAGTACGCAGACTATATAGTATTGTTTGCTGGATGCACTGACAAAATACAGTCTTCCGATTACCTTAAGCAACAATCTAAGGATGTTTGGAATGCGATTTTCTCCCTCCCAATGCAAACTGTCACTTCGAGATTGGCTTACGTCACCACCTGAATTAGTGATAGAGGATGAAGTAGCTAAATGGATTGACTGCTCCATTTATCTGGAGAGCCTCACAATACTGGTCTGGTTTCCGACGAAACCTCAGCACGGACATATAAGGCTCCATTGGCTCCTGCCAACTTGCGTCACTTGTGGAGTAGTCGAGATATTCGTCTTTCAACCAAAAGGCAAGTCTGCTGAGCAGCAGTTCACTCCGTTTTACTTTATGGATATGAAACTGCCATTAAGAGTATAAGATATTCGTAGGCTACTGGTATTCGATCATAGGTGTATACGAATCATTGCTCGTGTATTTTAGGACCACAGAATCATAGCACTAAATAAATATGGGGAATTAATTGAGAAGGTAGTAAATCTTCATCAATTGAAGTGGTTGAAACATATGTTGCGTATACCAACCACTATCTTCCTCGACTGACAATGTTTTCTGGTGTAGAAGTAGGCTCAGAGACAGCTAGGGGCGGAAAATCCAAAACGTTGCATCGGTCCAAGATGCCACTGACAATTAAATTTAGCCACGTTAATAGGTGGAGATTGCTCGGGTGTGGTCCGCGTGATTATCAAAACCAATGATTAGAGACTTTGAATGACATAGGTTGACACGGGTGTATCGATTCTTTGCCTTCCCTCAATCCCTGAGATCCTGGATTCCTAAATTTCTCGTTTTTATTTTACTAATTTATATCTTTTTTGAGTTGTATTTTTGATGCCTAATCTTTCCTATTACCAAAGATAATGTTACTAACTCTACTATTCTGAGATTTGGTCTGAAAATTTCATCTCTCTGTGCTAATGCGGTATGACAAATTAAACCGATGTACATACGTACCATTTTCTACGTTGTGACTGACTGAATGAACTGAGAAATCATTGTGAGAACCAGAAGTGATACCCTAGCACAAAGAACGATTATTTAACGTTACCATTACAAAAATCTGATTGATTTACTAAGCATATGTAGAAGGCTCAGTAAAAGGGAATGGAAATGATGGAGGGTGAAGTGTATCCAAATTTTAAAGCCACTGCATTATAATAATGTCATTTACTGAATCTAGATCAATAAGTCAGGACGTTCAATAAAACCTTAGTATCTCTAACAATCGTCCCATTCATTTCAGGTAGCATATATAGATGGTTAACTTAGACTTCTACGAAATTTTTATGATTGCTAATATTTTTCATAGCATCCCATTTGTACAATTCGTCTTGCCGTTTCCAAACTGTTGTTCGAATCAAACTGTTAACTCCCTTCGGAAAATATATGTTACATTGATTATCATTCACCATAACGTACCTCTCTACGTACATCTTGTCCGCTTAAGCTGTTGTCATATTGCTAGATTCCGAAAATACATGGTGCATACTTTCTACTTGGTGTTGTGAAAACTATTCTAGTTGATTCTTCATATATACATATTCAATAAAGTTATCATTGTTTTTACCACCTGTAGCCATAAATATACGTAAAATAAACGGGGATTCCGAAAGTCGTCAACAGACACTTTTCCAGCATCTGATCTATGTGTTTTGCCTCAGCGGTAATCCCAATCGGAAGTGCATCTATTGCGTAGCCAAAACGTATAAAATAGAATTAAATAACGTGGGATAGGGAGGGTGCTTGTTACCGAGGGAACAATATGCAGAGTGCTTATGACGAACTGAACACAATAAAGATACACGGTAAATGCTGAAACAACACAATTTTATCTAGCTTGTTGTAAAATAAGTAACTTAGGATAGTTTAGATCAATTCAGGATCCTCAAAAGACATGCAGAGACGATATTACAGTATCCTCAGAGTTTAGTGTAGCAAGATATTTAAGAAATTTGGATGGGGCAAGTGTGCATAATTTCTTTGCTTTAGTTAGGAACACATCACTGCTTTTCAAAATTAGAAAAGACTACAACACCATAGTTAACGGGAGAATCAATGATATTAACGATAGCAAGTCTCGAATTCTAGCGCTAAGTTCATTTATCTATATGGTTAGACAGTATTTCATCATTACAGCTGGTGTCAATTCGTGATGAAAACCTTTACCGTAATTCCTAAACTTAACTTCTAAATTCTAATCCCAATCCAAAACCCTTTTGACACCAGAATTTATCTGTCTTCTCAAAGTTACACTACACTGAATCAAAGGGCATCAATAAGGTATAGTTTCATCGAAAAGACATTTCTATGACGATTCACGAGCGTATCAAGAGTCCGCAGAGAAATAGATTTCAAAGCGACAGTTTAATTATCATTACAGTTGATACTGAATGCAGTCAAATAGACGTTACTAAATCTGACGCAAATAACTGAGGTAGGCATAGTGAAGACAAAACGCAAGTTTAACTTACAAATAATATATATACTGATGAAAAAAACTCAGTATTTTTATGACCTACTTCCTTGAAGGAGACTCTGCCCCATAACATGAGCCACAATAATTGGGATCTCTTGTCGTTGTGATAGCCGAAGCATCATTTACAGCTGAGAAAATATTATTGAGTATGAGCTTACCATGGCGAACACTATCCGATAAAGGAGTGCCATCAACTGAAACACTAGTTTTGTAAACTTCGTGCATAACATTTAGCTGCTGCGCGCCCGTCGTGTCCATTGTATCTAGGCTTAAAACTAAAGTTTGCATCCAAGGCGCACAAACTTGACTTACATCTGCACGGGATAAAGTTTAGCGTTATATCCAAGTAGATAGACATCTTTTCTCCACGGTTGACATCTACAATAATCTCCTGCTTACTCCGGGTGCGCGTAAACGAGAGAAGTTCTGATGTGAACAAAATTCCGATGATTAGACTACTTATTATTGAAACTGAAAACGATTAAGTGAGCTAGACCAAAAATGCAAGCAAAATACCCAAAGCTCCAGACAGCGTTTTGATACGAAAGTCTTTGAGTGGTTTTGCAAAAGCATCGAAATTCTGAAGAGACTTCATGATATAAACGATCACTGAACAGCAACAACTTCCCACTTAGTTCGTAATGTATGCATATGCAGACAAGGTCATTAGAGGACGTGCCACGTCCAATATAACGACATACAATTGAGTGGTCAAATGGTTGGCGAAGAAATTAAAAAACTCCTAGCTTAACGAAACACCGTGTACACAAACAGTAGACCATCAATTTTTTAAACAATCATACTAAAGAATATTCAGATTTGTGTAGTAGTACAGAATGCCTACAGCCTGTTATTCCTTTTTCCAGCCTTCACCTGAATGAATCAATTGAAGGTGTGGACACCACTGCTCCGGGTAACAGGTTCCAAGTATTGATGACTCGATGTGTATGTCAAGGGTATTTTTTCGTTCATAGCTTTTCTACTCGCCTGCTATGTCCTTTGACATGTCCCAGCCTAGTGGGAAGAATAAGAGAATATATATTAGGTCCAAAATCGTTTCTTAGTATTCTATATGTCGAAATTTGATCGTCACTTAGTCTGCGATAGGACAGAGTAAAGATGCCTAGATTTCAAGACGCTCTTTGCATGTTAAACACCGTAGATCTGAAATTGCATGGGTAGCTGCCCTCTGTGATTTTTCTAGGATATTCGAGTCACTTTTCAAACAGGGGCTTGCAGCCTGAATGTAAATTTCAAACTTAGTTCTTACTGAGTTTTTGTTTATTGTAGTGAACGCAGTAGTATCTAATTTGGTGAATGTCCGGCTTAAAGCCTAGGGTGTTCCAAACCGCTTAGCTACGACCTCCAGGCAATGGGCCGCGGTCTTGAGATCATGATTCACTGTCACCCCAAGATCCTTATGAAACCGGATCACGGGTACAGGCAGTTTTTCTAAGCTGTACTTAATAACCTTTGTATCTCTAAAGTAAATATGGACACACATTGCCACATTGATAGGCATCAGCCACTCTTTAGTCCAGTTAATCATATTATTTAAGTCTGCCTGAAGAGCACATGCGTCTGTATCTCCGGTTATTGCTCGCCAGATCTTTACATCGTTAGCGTACAATAACATTGGAGACTGTACTATACTTGGAAGATCATTTACGTACATTATAAAAAGTAAAGGACCTAGGACGGAACCTTGAGGCACTCCACTAAGTACTGGTCTCCAGATGGAGCAATTGGGATATATTCTTACTCTCCGTTTACGACCTACTAGGAAATCCTTAATCCATTTTAAGGGAGGCCTGGCAATACCAAGATTTTCCAACTTCAATAGCAGTGTATTTGTTGGCACCTTGTCAAATGCCTTAATGAAGCCTATGTAGACAACATCCACTGAGTTTCCGTTGTCTAGTGCCTCCATTAAGAGCTCTCTTGTTATGTAGAGGTTTGTTTTGCAAGATAAACTATTTCTGAAACCATGTTGTTTGCTGTTTAACATGTTGTTGGTTTCTACAAATGTCATTATGATATTCTAATATTTTAACTACAACACTGGCGAAGCTGACATGTCTGTAGTAAAAAGGAAGTGGTTTTGGTCCTGTTTTATGCTTAGGAATGACGATTGCGTCCTTCCAGTCCATAGGTAACACACCTTGGTCAAGTGACATACTGAATATCAGAGTGAATAGGTATAGTATTCTAACTGTCGTATGAATTAGGAATTCCAGGATTAACGCAATTGAATTAAGAAGACACAGGCACCAACGAATGTTTTGTATTTAGAATTCGAAATCAAACATTTGTAGTGACTCACGTTTATCACGAGAACACGACTGGTTTAATAAAAACAATTATTATTACAACCAACTGTACCAGTGTTTGTTTTAACGTGCTTTTGTTTGACTGTGCTAATGACAGCTATTTTCTGCTTCCATTCTTTCGCTTACACTTCGATTGTAACTTCGCGCGAATTCGGTTACCTTTTGTAACCAAGGTTGTATCCTGGCACGATCTCGGTATCCTTTCGATGCCACGAGATCGCCAGCTAATAAACCTCGACTTGGTCCATTAACTGTCTTCTGATATTTGGCTTCTCGGGGATTTTATGGTGTCATTTGGAACGAGCTTCTTACGCCTTCTAATTTATCTGGCACGTGTTTCCTGGTAGCGGTGTTCACAGTTGATCTCAACTCGATGCCACGCTACATTGGTGAGCCGTATTCTGGAACACGCCTCAACTTCTGATCAAATCTTCCAAAGAAGCCAATTCGGTGAGTCTATGATTTATCTATCCACGTCTGTCGTATATTTTCATATTTTTAATATATAATATACGCGACATGACGGATAACGATAAGAATAGTATTAATATAATAGACTCACACGTATGTGTACCGAATCCTTGTCACTTTTTATTCGCGTGATGATGAATTCCACGCTTTATTCGAGAAATGTTACCCTATTAACGATTCTCCTCGCTGACCCGGCTGCTTGGTACGGAATGCATACGCATAAGCATCTCCGTCTACCACCCAGCACCAAATGGTTAAGTTGAACGGTTTCACTGCCAACTTAAAAGTGTTCTACGAGCACACGAAAACGGCAACTGGCACGAAACCATACCGCTCGTTCTTTTAGGGGCGAGAACGAGCTTAAAGGCAGATAACCAATGTTCCGCCACTGAACTTGTATACGGCACGACATTGCGTCTGCCCGGAGAATTCTTCACACCACGGAGCAGACCTAATTTCGGTAAATCAGACTACGTCCATCGACTGTCTGCATTTATGCGAACGCTGCCTCCGGTGTCAACTCGAATACAACATCGACAGGTCGCTCTCCCTCGAGAGTTATCTACCTGTTCACATGTTTTTGTACAAGTAGATTCGGTACGCAAACCTTGGCAACAACCTTACGAAGGCCCTTTTCACGTGATCGCTCGTCACGAAAAGACCTTCAAGGTTGATCGATATGGACGCGTCGAGATCGTCAGCATTGATCGTCTCAAACCAGCACACGTCGATGACAGTGCCCTATCTGACACCCTGAGATTCAATGCTAGACCTATCAAACCTAGCGGGATCCTTAAATCTTCTTCAGGTCCCACGCTAGATGCATCTGAGACCTCATTCTCACGTCCCAGTCAACAGCACGCGTCATCTGCACCGTCTACGGACGAGACGACAGTCTCACGTCCAGATCAGCAGACCACGCCGCCCTTGACTTCGGATGAGATTGCAGGCTCACGCGACGCGAACGAGACTGCCGTCTCACGTTCCGGTCGCCGAGTACGATTACCCGTACGTTTCCGCGAATAGTCGCACAGTCAACAACCGATACGGTGTAGGATTATTCCTATACTACACGTATGCTACACTCTTTTTTTGATTTTCTTTTTGTTTCCTGAGCCCACGCCTTCGACCATCCCCGTTTGGTTCCGTCGACTTCAGTCAACTTTGGCGAAAGCTGGCCTGATCATCCATGCTCTTGTCAACGCACTCAGTCGATATATTGGTTTCGAATGCTTGGCACACGCTTGATCACGAACTTGGTCGTAACGGTCGCTTCTGGTCTTTTGGCTCAACGTGGTTTCGTCCTATGTCTGCAGCGTTTCTGGTGCGCACCTCTACGAACGCCCTCTTCAGATTCTGGATACAAACCACTCTTGTGTAGCATGCCAACTCAAGCAATAAATACAACACATCGCTCCTGGTACCGTTCTCCGATAACGACCTTCGTTGGCAACTCGACGATCAACGATCGCTTTCCTGTTCGCCAATTCTTCCGTCCTACAATCGCTCATCAGCCGATCAGTCCCACTATTCAAACCGCTATTTATCGAAAGTGTAAACCCTTTCTAGCGGGGGGCTCCTGTAGTGACTCACGTTTATCACGAGAACACGACTGGTTTAATAAAAACAATTATTATTACAACCAACTGTACCAGTGTTTGTTTTAACGTGCTTTTGTTTGACTGTGCTAATGACAGCTATTTTCTGCTTCCATTCTTTCGCTTACACTTCGATTGTAACTTCGCGCGAATTCGGTTACCTTTTGTAACCAAGGTTGTATCCTGGCACGATCTCGGTATCCTTTCGATGCCACGAGATCGCCAGCTAATAAACCTCGACTTGGTCCATTAACTGTCTTCTGATATTTGGCTTCTCGGGGATTTTATGGTGTCATTTGGAACGAGCTTCTTACGCCTTCTAATTTATCTGGCACGTGTTTCCTGGTAGCGGTGTTCACAGTTGATCTCAACTCGACGCCACGCTACACATTCAACCAGTACAATGGTATCATTAGTCCATTCAAACACCACATGCGCCACAGCTTAAATAGAAGTATAAGTGTTTGTAATCGGTTGTACGTCTTCTTGTTAAGTTCATCCTGAGTCTGTCCGACATTGTGTAAGATAAAAGCTTTGTAGTATCTAGAAAGTGCTCATTAGTATTGGAATTAACAAACGAAATCGGAACAGACTCACCTGGAATTGTATACAATCAGCATATCGGTTTTGTACTGAAATCATTAATATCTAGAATTTGAACCATAGATTTTTCAATCCTATCCTCCCCCACGAAATAATGTTGGATCTTTATATCCCCAAGTTATGAATAATGTGGCTTCATTTAAAACATATTTCTCACATTGTTTAGAGTAAACATTGGAACTGTTTTTGTGATAAGGGTAAACAGCAGTTGATATGAGATCATCCGAAATGTAATCAAACTCGAGGTCACTTAGTACTCGTGCTTCGCATTGAGCAGGTTTTTCACAAGGATCAAATGCATTATGAGGAGAGGTAATATATGATGCGACATTAGGATTTGATTCTTCTGAAATATTCTCATGAAATTCATTAGGACTGTCATTGCAGAGCGTAGGATAGTTAGAAAAACTAGCACCTATCCAAACCACATCAGGTTTCCGATCATGATTAGGTTCATTTAACATGTTTTCCTCAATATTGCAAGTAATTTCATTAGAAATATGTGAATCATTAGGAAAAGTCATACCTGGTACAATAGCATGAGAATTCTGATAAATCGGTTGATTAGGAACTGTTGTCTCACAAGAATTCTGGATTTCATCTAACTCTGAACTGTCATATGACTCTGCACTGTCTTTTGAAATCGTTGATAAAGATAAATGATCATTAGAAACATCCGAATTATTGAAATTTAAATTACAAGATTTAGTACAGC